TACAGCAGTCAATACATACATGTACAGCACAGTGGGAAATATAGAGGTCTGCTCGGCTGGAAGTAATACATAGTACCAAGAATAGACAAATGGCTAGATGTTTCAAAAACGTTAACTGATTGCGGTAATTGTAAACTGTGTATTATTAAGAGAGAGTAAAGCTTTAGTGTGAAGTTTAAATTGCACAGTAAAGTATTAAAAACGTAGTGTTTCATTCCTGAAACTCGAGCATATTAAAAGTGTGTTGTACAGGTTTGTTTAGTGATGATAACTACGCGTACCTCCTATCCGGAGTTTGAAGAGCGGCATCCCTGATTCTACTTTCTCTCCATCAGGCACCAGCAGCTCCTCGATGACACCAGATGCTGGAGCGGGGACTTGTACTGAGGTCTGGAAGTGTGACAGACATTTTTAGTAAATATTTGTCATACTCTGTTCGAAGGAAACATTCATCAAAGGTCATAGCAATGAATTAACAGTTGATTGTCTTTCCTGTTCATACCTTGTCCGTCTCAATTTCGCACACCACTTCATCTTCGGACACCGAGTCGCCCACAGCTAAAACACAAACAATAAAAGATGATGTATTTCATGTTCATGGCTACTTGGGACACTTAGACCTGTGAAATTCTGATATGTTGAGGAGTACTAACCTTTCTCCCACCTCACGTCCCCCTCTGTAACAGATTCTGCAAACGCAGGAGTGTTGACTGTGACCACCTCATCCCCTGTACAGAAACAAAACAGCAGTTGCTATAAATTCAACACTCGGCACGGTTGTCTTCATGACATGATGTTGTTGCAACACGTACTGTGGACAGCAGATGTCCTGAAGTATCTGATGTGGAAGACATTCCCTGATGATGGAAATTCACATCTAAATGTTGAGAAAATCACGGTTACTTTTGAATTCTGGACAAACTAAATGATTGTGTTAAAACAGACACACACAGAATACTGATCAACACACAGCCTTCCTAATTCATCTACATTTACTCTACATCACATTTAAAATCCCTTTTAACATAGTGTTATGCATTAATACATAAACAGATCTAACACTGACCATGCTGAAGAGTTTTGAAACATGCAGTAGTGGTTACGGAGAGGCATTCAAAGACAGACAACAGAATGGGAGAGAGTACTTACGGCTGTGAATTCCTGTAAACTACCTGGCTGCAGACAGGTAGGCCTTCAGAGGGAAAAAGAAAAGAGAAAGTCAATCAACCAGTGCTTCTCCTGAGGCTCCAACACAGATGTGAGTTCTCCGAGCGCTCGAAGGCATCTTACTCACTCAACAAGCATCACTTACTCTGCTTTGGGTAATCCACTCAGTTTGTTTATTCATGAACGATACCATTTGGAGTGCGGTTACTGATAAGGTTCTTAAAGGTCTAGTATACTCTCAGAGGAACACTTACCTGATACACTTTGTCGGACCAGCACATTATTGGCCTAAAAAAGAAAGAAAAGGAAAACAGTCAAAATCTGTTTCATTCTATTATACCTGCAGCTTTTTAAATCTCATTAGTGGCGCTCCCCATTCTGAACCTGTATTTAGTTTAAAGTAAGCTTTAAAAACAATAGAAGACTTTCCCCATACATCTTACACAGAGGTTAAAGAGTTATTGAGCCTACTTAAACTGCTGCAGCAACAAGCTTATGTAAACTGGAAGTTTCCTAAATACATTTCCCGGTAAACTCCAAAGTGCTTGATCTTTGATCTTTTCAATGGTGGCTGAGATGTTGACTGCGCCACATTGCTTACTGTATGACTCATGTTTGTGGGTTGCCTAGTTCTGGCTTCTTCACTGATGTCTATCTGGTGGAGTTGTTACTTAATGCTAACTCTACAGATGTAGGATGCCGGAGCTGGGTGGAGTTGTTTGTTACTTAATGCTAACTCTACAGATGTAGGATGCCGGAGCTGGGTGGAGTTGTTTGTTACTTAATGCTAACTCTACAGATGTAGGATACCGGAGCTGGGTGGAGTTGTTTGTTACTTAATGCTAACTCTACAGATGTAGGATGCCGGAGCTGGGTGGAGTTGTCAGAAATGTCATATTTACACTAGGTCAAAGCTTGTGCCGGCATGCACATCGTTTTTAGAGTTTTCACTGCTCTGACTCACTAGAACAACTGGCGCTGAAAATGTAACCATCAAAACGCCTCGTGTACAACATTACACTGGCCGATACACAACAGACATATAGGTTAAATCATTCATATTGTCAATCCCTTCTATTTGAGTGTTTCTCCTCCAAAACTCTAGGATTATTTAAAAAATGATAGATTTCAAACAAACAAAAAGTGTGCGTTATTACAGACGCACATTTGCAAAGTTAATGAAGGCAGTATAACAGAACCACCCTGCAATAAATAGAACTTTAAATACATATTACCCAGTATATCAAGAGCAAAAACTATTTTCGATTCAAGATGTCAAGATCTGATCTATCAATTGAAAGACACGGTCCTGAGGTCCTGCAGGACATTCATTGATTTCATATTCTAAACCAAAACGGAACGATAATGAACAAATAATTAGTTGCAACCTTGACTAATAAAGTCAATACATTTTTATAAATGTTTTATTTGGTACACCTCATTAAATGAATACCCTGCAATAAATCCTGCCTCCATGAAGGTTATTATGTTCAGATTCTTTACTGTAAGTGTGTGTGAAAGTTAGCTGACATCAATTGAGTGGACAAATGTGTAGCAACACCTCAGTATGAGGCAATACAACTCACAAACACCTAGGGTTGCAAAATTCCGGGAATTTTCAAAGATGGAAACTTTCCATAGGAATGTATGGGAATAAACTGGGAATTTTCTAAATTGAAGGTTGGCTCTTCATAGGGAACTTACATTTAGTTGGAGAAAGTATATTTTAGCATAATCTTGACTAAAACAAACAGATGCCATTCAAGTACACTTGAATATCCATGCCATAGCACACTGCTTACTGCATGGCTATTGAGACCACACAAAGGTTCGCAACAGGCTCACAAATGTGAGAGTGGAAACACTAGTTGGCATTCGGGCAAACCTAAGGCTCTCTGAGTCGGACACAGAGATCCTCAACAAGGCTGGACAGTGACACCGAAGAGGAAGACTCAGAGTGATGTTGATGAGGCCCAGGAAGAGCCCGTTGACTGAAAGGCTTTAGCAAAAATGCAGAGGATTGCTTGAAGGAAGATTTGTTTAAATGGGACTTTTTGGAGGGAGAAGGGCTCTTTTCATTTAAAATGTTGAATGGGACTTTGTGGGGATTTTTGGATGGGGGGTGCATTTTTGTTCACTTTTTAACGAGTGGGGTTGGGGGGGATGAGTAATATTTAACTCAACATTCCTGTAAACTTTCGTTCTTCAATGAAACAAATAATTGTTCAATAAAATAATTAAAACTTGTTCTGTTCTCCCTACTTTAAAAAAAAAGAAGAAATTGTTGAAATGTCATGTTTTTTGTTTAATTTTGCATCGAATATTTCCCAAATTCCTCAGCTTAACTTCCCATGGAAACTTTCCGGACATGTCCCGCTCCTTTGCAACCCTACACACACCACTATCTTGTCATTTTAAAACAAACACTCTGCCTTAGTCCACTGTAAACACTAGCACAAGTCTCCTTGAAGTATGGAGAACTACACTTCTTAACCCTGACAAGACACACAAGCTGTTCTCCTAGTCAACACTCAGTTCAATACCTGCTCAAAGCAATGAAAAGACAGCTGAAGCTTGTGAGGGCAGAGCCAAGCAGCACATATATGTCTAACTTGACATTGGCTATTTCTGTCAGGTCAGCTGAGACATACACCTCAGTCTTACAAACACAGGACACCAACACATGCTAACATTAGCCTGTCAAGAGTGCTAAAGTAGTAAGCCAGGCATTGAAACAAAAATAATACAGTTGACAGCGACATGAAATACATATATTGTTTTAATAGTCAGATATAGATACTGTTCTCTTCAAACGTAACTTCCCTAACCTCCTCTAAAGCTGTCAGTGTGTGTCTGCCCTTGGTAGGTGAGGCCTCTTCACAAGCTAACGTCTGTTGAATGCTAACGGTAGCTAACAGCTAGGTGTGTCTTGTTTTATTCAAGTTTTTATCGTTCCAGAGTTATTCCACAGAATCAGTTCAGTGTTTATTTCCAACATACCTGGCTGACCACTGACAGGGAGCGACCAAGCGTCCTGTAAGCACATCTGGATCGTGATAACATAGCGCTAGCTTGCAGCTGTGTTCCTTGTTATCTGACAGCAGTTGAAGAAGCGGTGCGGAAGCTCCGAGTGGGATGAACCATTGCGGTTAGAAGGGGAGGGGTGTGTGAGGGACCGGGATGTGTTAAACCCTTTATATGTACAGCCTATGGTTAAACCAAAGCCTGTGTCCCGTCAAATTCCGCGACTAAAACAGGAATTACAGTTGTTTTATGTTTTATCCGTTTTTATCATGCATTGTTACATACCTTAATATGATTGCTATTACCAAAACTGGTGCTCTGTAGAATGTAGACAGTCCAAAAATATTGATAGCTGTAACCGAAAAGGGTTTGTGGAATTGCACACTCAATACACAAATCAAATAAATAAAGTGTTGTCAATGTTTGATGTTATCTGAAAACTACTTATCTGAAGATGCTATAAAAAAAAGTAGTATGGTAAAACATGTTGCAGAAGCAGTGTAGCTGAAGATCCTGCAAAACACCATACTGAATAACAACTACAATCTGACAAACATCATAAAAAGGACAAAATAAAAGTATTTTTTTGATGGTAAATGTACCAATACCTGCACAACAACAGAAACAGGACAAGGAAATATATACAGTGGGTTGTCTTCAGTTCACATCAATCTAATTATGTGCAGGTAGGGATGGGATAGGGTGGCATATTTGGCCACACCTCCTGTTTTTTGGAGGGTCTTGCAGCTGGACCGCTACAAATAGTCACTCCTGCAACAGAAAACTCCAGATCTGCAGCCTTCTGGGGTCTTTTTCTACAGGCAACAGGTGGGTTTCATAATACTGTGTATGTGCTCTTTATTTTTGTAATGTTCACATTTTAGTTTTTAATATTTCTTTACTGTCATATACAACTAGAATGTGATATACTTTTTACATTTTTGAATCAAGTCTGAAATAACTTAAGCTAAATTAAAATGTGCCAAAAAGTAGCCAATATAGCAGATTTTATTTTTTACAAGATCCATTATTGTTGTGTTACGTCTTAAAGTTGAAAAGTATTTCAGTTCACTTGAATGACATTTTATTAGGGATTTATCACCACACCTGCATCAGTAATTAATTATGTTTTTCCATCACAGTGCTGTCTTTTTTAAACCCTATAAGGCATGAATCCAAGTGTTTGGAGCGAAGGTATGTATTCTTCTAGCAGCATTTGCCTTGACGGCTTTCACGCAGAGCATCTCTCCTCTTTTCAACTGGACCCTGTGCTATCAAATGTAGATGTGTCAGCACACAAAAACAGTGAGGACCGAAAAATGCTATCGGAGAGTGCCTATTACAGAAGTGGGGATGCTGGTTCAAGTTTGATGAATCCATCCAAAGACAGCACGACTGGACATTCACCCATAAGAAGGCACCCGTTTCCTGCATCCAGTTCCTGTGGTCATGATGAGTGGAACTTAAACAGTGGCCATCAGGCAAAGCGTGCCAGAGTAGAAAATATCATCAAAGGCATGACCAGCTCTCCAGGTATGCACTGCACCAATGTGACCAGAAACCAATGCGTGAAGACAGACGGCATGCAGGAAAAGGAAACGATACATGAGCAGGACTACGTGGGAACGAGTGGATTTGGCAGCCAGAGAACAGGAAAGCAGCTGGAGAATCAGCATCTCAGAGCAAGGTTGGACCATGTGGACGAAGTAATCGACACTAAAGACGAGGACGAATCTCCTGAAACATCTCCAAGGGACGCATTCACAGATTCATACAGTGAGTTTCAGACCAGCTCAAGTAGAGAATATCAAGGACGGAAGTCGGTGATGAGCTACTTCCAATCCCAACCCGAGAGAATAAAGCTGATGGCAGAGGTTTTAAAGTATGAGCTGTCCAGAGCTGTCAGTAGGAGCGTTGACTCTATTTTCAAAAGCATGCCACTTATACAAACAAACATTGAGGGGAATGCAGAGACAGATATACGTCTTCAGTCATCAGTTGGTGAAGATGAATCAGGACTAACCTGTTGTGGAAATGCAGAGGTGCAAGTCCCAGATGTTCAAACCGAAGCTCTGTCTCTGGTCGTACAAAAGTCTCGACTGGAAAACAAGTTTGTCCTTCACCATCGTCCACAACCTCCAATCCTGTTCTGGAATCATGACTCTAAAGATCAGCCGTCAGAGAGGAATCACGAAGCCGTCTGTCAACATGCCCTCAGGTGCTCTCAGGATGCATGCTCCAGAGTTGGTCCGGCAAAGTTTGACACCCTTCGGAATTCAATCAAAGTGAGGTCGAAGGTCAACTCCAGGTCTGTGAGAAGCCCACAGACTCACACTGTGTCTGTGGACCCCACGCTGATGGAAAGCCCTGGTCTCCCTCATGTCAATATAGAGTCCGACTGCCTAGTGAAGACCAACCTGTACATGCTGAATGTATCCTTTACAATGGAGTCATACTTTTGATATTTTATTCTGTTTTCTTGAGAGTTTAAGACTCAATCAGCAGTGAGAGAACGTTTTACTCTCTCCTTGTATAAGCTTCTTAATCAGCTGTCTTTACATACCAGCAATATCTCTTCATTGGCTTATTAGAGTTCCAAATCACAACCTTTTCTGTGATGGTATTCTTTCTTCTTGCTTAAATTACTTTTCACCTTTTAGAATCCAACAAGTTATCTCTTTGATCTTTCAAATTTTAAACAACATTTCCAGTTGACTTTCTATTTTCCCCAAGTTGTAACGATTTAATGGAGGGACAATGTATCCAGTCCAGTCATGTTTAGGGTGTGTGTGTTTACCCTTAACACTGGTGCATACAGGAGGGTCTGACCACAAATCATCTGAAGAAAGCAAAGCTCATGTTCTTCTACACGCGCTACCCGAGTTCCCTGGTGCTAAAGATGTGTTTCCATGATGTGCAGGTAAGAAATATTAATCAAAAGTGCAATTCTTACACATGTGTGATTTTAATAGATAATTTTACAAAACATGACTTCATTTTACTGTAAGGAATACAGATTCTTAAACATTTTGCGAAAGTCACCATGTTTTGCTTTTAACTGGACATATTTTTTGCTGATTCTGAGAAAATATATTACATTTAAGCAGTCTGAAAATGTCGGTTTTTGAACCTGCGGCTTGTTTTGATGATCCCAAACCAGTTTGATTCCTCAATAGTGCATCTCTATAAATAAATAATCAGTCCCAGACAAGAAAATACAATTGTTTTTTTATTTGTCAATAGCAATAACATCAAGCAATCAGATCAGGATTATAAACACATCACTATTGCAATTCCGTAAATCTGAAAAACTGTAAAAATGGTATCCATGTGGTAAAATACTTTTAACGTTTATTCATGTTTTATTTGCTTTATATTTTTAATACAGTAAATAATGATTATCACCTTCTCTCTCACATAGAAACAAATCATTTATAATATATTAAATTACCCACTTCATTTCACTCACCCGTCCCTGTGTTTTTTCCTCAGTTCTCGCGCTGCATCACCTCTCAGCTCATCAAGTGGTTCAGTAACTTCAGGGAGTTTTTCTACATCCAGATGGAGAAGTTCGCCCGTCACGCTCTCATCGAAGGAGTCTCCGACGTGCGGGGTCTGACTGTGGAGAGACAATCAGAACTTTTCAGAGCTCTCAACATGCACTACAACAAAGCCAACGACTTCCAGGTAAACTGCTGCTACACTGAATGTCTTACTGCCCTGAGAGCATTACATAGTGGTCATATTTGCTTCATTGATTTGTCACTCAGTTATTTGTGTTGCATTGGGAGCTTCCAGGGGGATCATGTCATTGTCTTATTTTTGTACAGTCCAACACATGATTTACTTTTATTAGATGTGTGTGTGTGTGTGTGTGTTGAATTGTTTCAAAGCATCATTTTCTTATGTCTGCTCGATGCATCTCCTTATTTATAACTTGCATACATTATAGTTCCTCTTCAAGATTAACTAAATAGAAGTGTTCTTTTATTTGTTTACATTATAGTATACACACTTAGTAAATAGTAATGATGTAAAATACACACATAATACATTTGATTATTTTCATTCATGCTTGCTTTTTACTGAAAGTATAGAAAGAAGGTGACTTTATTTTAGCCAGAGCTACTGCATTATTATTTTCAACATGAGGAATAAACCACAGAAATATATATTTTGGGTAGCGAAGCCACTCTCTCAACATTCAAATGTAATCACATTACAACAGCAAAACTACTAACAGACGCACCAAATACATAGATAGTTATACTTATGATAAAGTAAACACTAGGCAGAAATAGTTATTTAATATTCAAGAACACATGCTGCAAAGAATTGTGGGACTCCAAGTATATTTTGTCGTATTTAGTATATTGTCCTAATTTCTATTATAGCACAGTTAATAATGTTCACAGACTGTCACATATTTAACATAAAGCAACATAGCTTTAATATTATTTCTACTAACTAGTACAAATAGTACACAAATATATTTCAGCAGCAGTGAGAAAGATAAAATAGAGTGATAGGAAATTAGTTTTAGAAGTAATTTACTTGTATTTATTTCACAAGAGTGAATACTATGATAATGAACACAGCTGATTAATACACATAATAATGGCTGCCTGGAGTAGCATGCTGTGAAGTACATGTCAAAATAGTTTGTGTAACTTTTTACTTTAAGTTTAAATATAAACACATTGTTGTTTTGGAGATTTTAAGTCATTTAGTTTGTTCCATTTGTGTTCAGTATAACATTTACCACTGAAAGAGTTATTTCACACTGTGGTTGATGTGCTATCAAAATGTTGACTTGTCATTATATTACTTTGTTGGTGTATAGGAATTATAAATCCATGCACATTATTATATAAAATAAAAATATTTGTGATGTTGAATTAAATATGAAATTTCTCATGCATTAATGTGTTATAAGGAAAAACCTTACTGCACATTTAGGAATATATACTTTAAAACGGCTATGAGTTACGAATTCAAATAAGGTTTTTGGAGCCAGATAAGTCTTTTTTTAAAAAGAAAGAAAATACATTAATAAATTAACATTATTTATTATTATTCTAATGTTTTACATTTTCTTTAAAGTGACTTAAATCACCAAGCTCCACAAAAGAAGGACGAACAGCCTCCTGCTCTGTACTCTGTTATAGCTGCATAACGCTCAGATAATCTTTTAAGTTAAATGTAAATATTTAAGATGTGTTAATTATAGGTACGATTTTTGTTGGATAAAATTGACGTTGACATTTCCAAGTATTTTTTACACAACTTAAAATGAGTGAAAAAGGACCAGTGTAATGGAAATAATCTGAAAACATTCATCTTGAAGTGTCAAAGGTTAGAGAAAATACTACAAAGGACAACAAAACAATTGAAAAACAACATGCCTGAACATAACATGACCACCTTATAGTTTCTAGGTTTGTTTTCTGATGAGTGACAGACTCTCAACCTTCCCTCCTTGAGTCTTCTCATGAAACACAATTAAGATGTTCTTCAGTTTATCTCCCAATTTTTGTTCAGCATTATAATCAAAATTATTTGATATCCGTTTTGTCTGACCGTTTGGTCTCAGGTCAGACAGATTACACACATGGACACCCAGCAGTGATGTTGGGTGTGGGCGCTGAAATCAAATGTGCATGTTAGACGGAATGAAAGCAGAGACTGTCTTTTTTTATTTATCAGCTTGACTTTGCACAATTTAAAGAGTAAATGCTCTTTTTAGAGTTGGACCTCAACTGTTTTTTTAATGAATCACACACTGGCACTGTACTGCAAAAGCATCAACATGCACACATAAACAGTACATACTGACATCTCATGACCATAGAGGAAACCCTTTCTCAGGCCTCATTTTGAGTTGAAGGTTAACTGTTAAGGGCATGGCCAAACAGTCTGTGTGCACAATGGATTTTCAAAACATAATAGGGTCCATCCTCTGGGGAGCACAAATGTACTCACAAGATGTCATGGTAGATTTACTCTAAGCTCTGATGTATGTAAGTAGGCCTTTTGATCAAATGGTGGTGAGGAAAAAGCTGGACAATAACCTGTACACCAAAGTATTTGTTTGTTTTTTTACGTTACAATCTTGAATATTTCCACGTTGCTCTCCTTGGCGGCACCAATGAATGATAATTGCATGTGTTTTGGATCAAAGTATATAAAAAAGTCCACTGGTGTTTTTCCTGTCAATTTCGCCACATACACCAAGCCCGTAGTACTGCAAAGGCTCATCTTTGGGCCATAGCCTCAAGATCCAGTGTGTTACCTCATTTTGCTAAACATTTGACAACAGACAATTATTTAATTGAAAAACGTCATGCTTTTGACTTGATTGGCAATTTCATATTTTCAGAATTAGCATTCGTCATAAAACAATATGATCAACTGAATCCATTTTTTGGTTACTGTGGTAGTTTATTGATAATTTGAACTGGTTGAATATTGTTATAAATAACCGTACTTGCTTTGCTGTGTTCAGACTGGTTACTTACCTTATGGTTTTCCAGGCATCATAACGATTCTGTAAAATATAAACAGTATGTGTGCAAACGTTTTTGACATTTTCAATCTTCTACTGTGACACCACAGGTCCCTGACCGTTTCCTGGAGGTTGCAGAGATTACATTAAGAGAATTTTACATTTCCATTTCAATGGGCAAAGACCGTGATCCCTCGTGGAAGAAAGCGATCTACAAGGTGATCAGTAAACTGGACAGTGACGTACCAGCTCAATTCAAAAGTCATCACTCTGCATGACAACCAATCAGAAGACATCATGTGCCGCAGTGGCTACTGTCACCATGTGTACTTACTCGCCTTGATTAGCAAAGTACTTAGTTTTTAATAAAGAACCTGCTGTATTTTACAATTGAGTTATGTACATGCTTGCACATATCCAGTCTCCACACATACAGCAGACTGATTTAGGCTTCTATGGCTGTTTTTTTTCATGAGGTCATTTGATATTATTAGTATTTTGCTATATCAACCTTATTGTATAGCACTAACGCATAATAACAATTTTATCTGTGAAATGTGTGCAACAGAAGAACACATTTTTAGAGTCATTGTTCTTTAATAAGGACAAAAAAAGGTCCACACAACACAAGTGAAAAAACACATTTATTATACAGCAGAGCTTTATTGTCATATTTGTATGTACGGAATATATTAAGATTATATTTCAAACATTTTAAAATTGGTAATTTTCAAAATAACAGTGTTTTGGTTTTTCTTCCATACTCACTATGAATACCCATCCACTTTGCAGATGATGCACTGAGGCTGGATGTCCGCAGGAAAATCAAACATGGTCTTCATCAGCGGTGCTGTGTGTTCGGTAATTTTCGATGATCCATTTTTTGTCTTCAGTGCAAATACAAAATTCTCAGCAGGTAAAATTGTAGGCCATTTGCTTCACAAGTGTAACGTTTGTAAATATAAAAAGTATATTCAAAACGGAATTCAATTGCTTACATATTAACCATGATAATCACACTCAGTGAGACTGAAATTGGGAACTAAATACGAACAAGCAGTTTGAACTTAGGCATTCGAAATAACGTCTTTGAATTATTTCCCAGGTCACCTATTATGCACAAATTAAGTGTCCCCTCTAGGAAAGAGATTCGGAAAGTTTCAGGAATAAATATTCTCTCTCTTTTTGTCCTGATCCATTTATATAAAAACCTGTCTGAAAATGTGCTGATCAGATTTTGGCCACTTAGTGATGTCACAATGTTTGAATAGGTTGTGCAACCATTAGCTATCATTAATAATCAGCTGAATGTGGTACAGGTAACATTTTTGTATCTTTACTCTCGATGTAAAAATGTGGTTTAAAGTCTAAAAAAAATAGAATTAAGACAAACAAATAAAATACTATTCTAGTCATGAAAAGTCACTGTAGGCTCGACTTGTCATTGAAGTAACCAGGGTTTAAACACTTGATTCACAATATTCCCAGTATTCCCAACTTCCCGTAGTTCATCAGGATAAATTGTGGTTCTATGGAAATTGAGAGTTGTTGACAACATTGAGGTTCTCCAATATCATTTACTGTTATGGTCACAGGTTAGAAAACACCCTTTTCAATCCCGCAATTGTGCATTTTCATTACACTTTATTTTGTGATACTCGCCGTTCAAGCTGAAGGGAAGTTCAAGTTAGGCTAATTCTAGCCTAGACAATACAAGTACATAGAACTGTATTGATTTACAAAATACACAGTACCATTAAGGGACAGAGAGGCAACCCACAAAGGTATAAAACTGTTGAGCTTTGCGTTATGAATGTAGCCCATTACTCTTTCCTTTGTTCTCCTCACTTAACCATGCACACTGAGAAACATAATAACAGTACTTCTTTAAAAAAAAAAAAACAGGGTCAATGTGTAATATCTGGCCACATACAAAAAACTAAAAAATAGGGGCAGCAATTCATCTCTAATACTTGGTTCATATAATCTAAATGTAGTCATCAGTTATTAAAACTGAATGAAAAAGCAAACTAACAGCAGGTCAAAGATACGCAATATTGACTCGATGGTACGAAATGTGCCATTTTTGGCTACTTTCAATATAATCCAATTAGCGAACTATTAAAAAGTCACATGGATCCTTTACCTTTAATGTTATTAACGAGTCATTCTGGACTCTTGGTTCTTCATCATCTAAAGTTGGACTGAGGGCAGACAGACGCTACATCGACTCACTATCGCCTGCTGAAGTACAAGAGGTGTTACGGTAAAAGACTGTCGGAGACGAGCTGGTTAGCATGCTCACTTCAGTATATATCTCTGCAACACAACACACGAAGATTTTGACATAATATCAAAAGTGTTATGTGTTTGGTTAAGTTTTAAATAAATAAAAATCTGGCCATATCTTACACATTGCCACTTTAAAATGTCACAGGGGGGAAAGAGGTGAAGTCAGAGTGATGCAAATAATACTTCTTCCGCCCCAATGATGAATCTCCAGGACATTCGGCCAGTTGTTCATCGAACCCTTACACAAGAAAGACACTCCAGGTTGGTAATTTTGTGAACGTTTATTGTGTTTTTTCAAGAATTAATGGACCAAAAAACACGGCTACAGTACAGAAAGCATGAAGAGTATAAAACAGTAACATAACTGAATACAGACCATGACCAGAAGATGCACGGTTACAAACTACATATTGAACAGCAAATAAGCAGTGTCTCTTTAAAAAGAATGGATCAAATAACTAATAATTTGATAACAATCGGTGATCTTGCCACCTGGATGAGTCTTTTGTTCCACTACAAGCGAGCTTCAGTGGTTTCACATTCTTGAAACCTTCAGAAAAAAAAGAAATGATTGATTACTTGGTTAAAGACAAACTTATTATTGATCAAGTTAAACTTTTACATGTGAAAACTTTGATAATTCCCTGCCATAAAATGTAACTTTTATAAATTCGGAAATACTGATGAACAATCCCTTTATGCAGAATTAAGTAACAACTGTATTTGTATCATTACAGAAGGCAGTACAGGTTCTTTACAAGTGAAAATATATGCCCGCAATCAAACCTATTGAGGGTTTTTTCAGTTATTCATAGCATTTGATTCCCTATTATCTGCGCTTAAGGTCGGAGATGTAAGACAAGCCTTTTTGAAGAATTGGCTTCCTGATCAAAAATGAAATCGCATTTAAAAAACATTTGATTTGTAAAGTCCATTTAAAATTGAAGGTATGTAATAAGAAAAGGCAAAACATGTCGCGATTCAAATTACATAAATCCAATACAAACATTTATTTGGAGAATACATGTTAATTCACAAGACATGTCACGGGCCACGAGTTGACCATATGGTTGAGATGCCACAATCCATTCTGAAGAACCCTCCTGTAGCTCGAGGTTTTAACTAGTTCAGAGTGTAATAATCAACATTCGTCAATAGATAGACTAAACAGCTGAGGACACTGAATCACAGTCGTTGTCGCCGCTTATGGCTCGGGGTCATCTACACCCTGAGAAGGATGTGTTCCAGGTGTCCCACAACAATAACAATCTCTGACTGAGAGTTGCCCGGTCATAAACTCGCAACATCAACAAAATGCTAGGGCAGCCCCTCCTTATGGGAGATAACGGCTGCTCAAGGTTGGTCAGCTGCGTCAGAGGGCGAAGGAGGACATGCAGGGCAAATTATTCCCCAACACTTACAACAATATAAAAAAGAGTGACACATACCTTTCAATGAAGGGGGAAAAGATTATCTTCTTAGAAATACTTGGTACGGTTAAGAGCTCTTTGTGCCATCTGGCCGCTCTCGTCCGTTATTCTTTCCCAGTCCGTTTGACCCACCACAAAGCCGATAGCGCGCTTTCGATCTGCTTCCTTCTTCTCTTCGAGATCAGCCCAGCGAACCTTGACAAGACAACCACGGTGTTATGACCAGGAAGTGGATCATTTGAGATAATTTATATTATTTTACATACATTTTATAAAAAATTGTGTTTTTCCACACTGAAAGCCACCCTGGACGACCTGTAATTGTTTTCCTTTAATAGTTAACGTCATTGGCGAATCTACAAAGCAGCTGCTCTGTGGCAATTTACCCTTTTCTTTCCTGGTTGTGACATGCGCGTAGCATAATCGTCTGGCAGCTGAAGGTAGTCCTCCAGGCCGGACATGTCTTCACGTTTCCTTTTCCCACCGCTCCCCAGACCATCCAACCTGTCTGTATAAAGATCACTGAACTGGTCAGTTCCCCCTCCACATAAGAACTTGAAATGTATTATCCTGACATTTATTTGTCTATGCAAAGACAGCTAGTAGATCAGCATTATCTGTTATCCTGCTTCACATTCACACAATTAAAACTACTCTGAGGGGTTCTTATTTACTTTCCCCCTAATGTGCCTGGCTTTGGATTTGTAGAAATTATTTAGAGAGTATAGTTTGCATGAGTATGTAGTTGAAAAATAGTTAAAAAGCTAAGAAGGCCCACTTTGCACTTTTTGGCCTTTGGTAGAAGAACCTTATCTTTGCATTCTCTCGGGACATTCAACCAAATATTTAGACATGTTTTCTTAAGATGCAGACATTAATTAATTAAGTAATTGTGTTTAATGTGAAGCCTTTGTCAACACAACATGAATAGCTTAGGTCGTTGTCCTTCTGTGTGCACAGACACACAGCTATACAACATCATAAACATCACAAATCAAACCATTAATTTCTTAAGCCTCTCGAAAAAGGTGAAATACTGGGAATTCAGTCATAAAACAAAGACCGACAAGACTAACAGACTAACAAAAGAAGAATACCTACCAAGTTTCGCCTCGGACGTGTCCATCTCCCATTTGCTTTTTGGAATGTAGCCCTATATTATATAAAGAAACACTTCAATGGTTAAACATCTGGGTGACACGGGGAGAAGGAGAGAGAAAGCAGGGAGGCGGCTGAAAAGAGAGCAGACTGGTTTATCAGAAGTTTAGAGACAAACATAACTGAAGGATGAGACTGCGGGAGGACACATAATGTAACAGGGGCATGCAAATAGTTTTGATCTTGCAAGTTAGAAGAGACTCATGTTTTTAGACTTAGCATTTATCTCGGTCACATACAAAAGAAAAGTAGGAATGGACAACAGCTGTGCTGCTTTGAAGAGCATTGGTTCTGTGCTTTTGCTTTGAAAACTAAAGGTCATCAAGATAACCCTGTGTGAGTTAATGATAATGTGATCGACATATTTTACATTACACATACAATGCCCTTGTGTCTGAGTCTGAAATGCTCCTACTCAAGCTTTTACTTAAAAAGAAAACTGAACATATAAAGTTTCCTGGTCAAAAGCAAACTGAGGTTCACATTTCCCTAACCAATCGTCAGCTGCAGAGTCACAGTGAGGCCATTTGGTCGGCTAGCACTAGTCAGTCCCAGGTTTATGGTTTATGGCTCTTTGAGGACGGTATCTCGGAGTATTGCATGCTCCAATTTTGATATCATGTAAGTTTCTGGTTCAGTAAATCACAAACTATTTTATTTTAACAATCTAAACCATGGCCTTTTCACCAAATCCTAGGACAGATTAAAGATTGTCTGCAACAAGTAATGAATTAAAATGAGTCAGGCCGATAAGAGTTGCATCTGTGGCACGTTCTGTCAAAGTGCATGCCTAACCAAACTTTTTCTGGTTGAAAAACAATGCATTTAGTTCAATAATCTCTTTTGTTCAAAATATATATATTTTTTCCTAACAGTTTTGGTTCATACATATGTTGTTTTTACTCTTTAATATTTTTGTAAGGCTTTGTGTTAAAGGCTTGTATCTGATATGTATTCAACAAAATATCAACTTTTTTCTGACATTTATTCGTTTTTGGTCTGTGTTTATTTTATTATTTGGTTTAGTTTTGTATTTCTTAAGATGCATTCACATCAGTCAAAGTATACATTTGTGTACCCCCTTTATTTTTAGTGTTAAATGAAACACAGGTGTTTTCAACGATTTGTTCTGATTAGACCTCTGCTCAGGTTTAAGGTGGGCGGAGCTTTGTGTGGACATACGAGAGTCAGAGATGTCAATCAAGTGCAGGCTGTACAGGAACCCTGACAGAAGTCTCATCAGACACGTGAGAACACCTGTGTGGGCGGAGCTTTAAAGAGGTCCATGTTATTTGCTATATTAAAATGCGCATTTTGTATGTTTTTTTCTCACAATATTTAATGTGTGTAAATTATGATAAATAAACCCGTTTTTGCTCGGCTTGTATGCACATGTGGCACAACAAAACACGAATGATAAAGATATGCAGCTGGAAACTCGTCTTCCAGTAGCATCTGCTCAGGTGCTTTGGATTTCAGAGTTTAACATACAACTCGAAGTTTGATCATTGAATAGAGAAAGGTGGCAACCTTTTAAGAGAACAGATGGATAAGTCTGTTTGAATTATTTATGATATACATTTAAGGCACACTGCATAACAAAACAATTAAATAAACTATATACAAGCTGGATATCCAGCTTGTACTGCCAAGAAGC